ATAACAACATTATACCTTGAGCCTTTTGCAACATTCTAACCCAATCAAGATAAAACTTTAAAAAAGCACATAAGGATCTTTTCTCTATCTGTCATTCTATTTTTAGCAACATTTCTCTCTCTTGATATTTCATTATTGCCATGAAATGATACTTGGTAATACAATTATAACTTATTTTGTTTTCTCCAAAAATTTATTTAAAGCTTTAAAAGTTTCTAGGGTTGAAGTCAATATTAAAATTGGGTTAGAGTTATGCCCCATAACTACCTGAGCTGGGCAAGTGTGATTTGTTGCAGAAGCATGATGCTATGGTAGTTTCAGTGGCAACCTTGATCATAAGAATCAATCATAAATTGAATTGCCACATGATAGGGAGCAACACCATGGCTAGCAACTTAGGTGGCAATGAGATCTAAGCACTGTGTGAGGAGTGGTAGCATGGTTTCCTCCACAACAACTCAAATAGTGGCGAGGCCCAAGCTCTACATGAGGGGGGTAGTGTCATAGCTCCCCTCATGGCAACTCAAGTGGTAGCATGCTGTGGCTACCCCCCATGGTGGCTTCAATGATGGCAAATGCCACCTCTCAGACTATTGCATGAGGGAGAGTGGTGTTATGGTTCCCCTTATAGTAGCTTTGAGTGCTCACAAGCACCACCACCCAAGTTATCAAGTGGCATTACCAACTAAGCTACTTTATGAAGGAAAGATGCATTGTGGCTCCCCCCACAACAGTTTTGAGTAGTGGCAAGCATCACTAACCAAATTGCCGCATGAGAGGGAGTGGCACTATAGCTCCCCATATAGCAACTTTGAGTGCTAGTGAATGCCACCACTTGAGCTATTATGTGAAGGGAAGTGACACAATAGCCCCCCTTATGGCAATTCTAAGTGTTAGCAAGTGCCGTTACTCAAGCTGCTAAGTGAGGGGGAGTGGTGTTACAGCTCCCTTTAGAGCAACTTCAAGTGCTGGTGCTCAACAATTGGTTTTTGCACTTAACCACTTTAATTTGTAGTTATTGATCTTCATTTCTATTTTTTTTTTCAGGTTTATGCTTACACTTTTTAGACTTTACAAACTTGCTAGAACATGTGTAAAAAGGCAATATTTATTAAGAATATTGCTATTAATGCCACAAGGGACAAAGGTACAACATGGGCAAAAGAATTTTTTTCAAGCTTTATTAAGCAATTCTCTTGAAAATGAGCATATTGAGAATCCTAAGTAGATTAAGAATCCCAAATTGCCTAGAAATGAGTTTGAGGAGGAAGATGATGAAAAAAAAGGTAATGGCTTTAACTCTTTAGAGAGTCAAAGTGCACAAAAAACAATACAAAAAAATAAAGTGGAGCCAAAGATGAAAATAAAGCAAAGCAAAAGCAGAAAATAAAACTATAAACATGAGATAAAATTTTATATATTAGCTTGTTCAATTGTTCCTTAAAGCTTAAAGTGGAGATTATTTCAAATTTATTACAACAATTGACAATCAAGAAGAATGTTCCACCTCCCTAAATGCCTCTATGCCACATGATCTTAAATCCAATAGTGGAATAAATGGTGAACATTGTGGATTTTCCATTCAATAGTGAGGCTTTAAATAAAGTCTAAGTTTAGTATAGCAAAGGGTTTAATGCTCTTGAATGAGAAAAGAACTTCTTGAAATGAAATATAGTAGTGGTCTGACATGAAATTTAAGGCCACTTTTAAAAATAGGACATGCCAGATGGAAGGAAATTCTTTCCAATTAGATGCTACTTTTGTGGGAAGAAAATCACCAACTCAAGATATAGTTATTATTGATGGATTTGAACTATTCAAATCTAGCTAACAAGAAAATTATAAGATACTATGTTATGGTGAATATTGCAATGATAAAGTTCCAAGACAAAAACCATATTTCACTCATTGTGGCTTTGACTTTAGTGAATAAGTATGTCTAATTCTCCTCTAAATTCTGTGATAGCATAATTTTTCCTATATAAGCATGGTTATGCAAAACATTCTCTAAGCATATGCTAGCAAGATTAAAGATGAGCTTACAGACGAGGAAAAAGTCTAACTCCAACATAACAATAGCCAAGGAAAACTAGTCACAATAGTTATGCCAAATTCCTTTTATACATCAATTTGCTAAAGTATTCATTTCAAGTTTTTTTTACTTCTCCAATATGACATCAATAAAGACTTTGGAGAAATTGAAGAAAAAAAAGTTTTGATATTGATGCTACTACTAAAGAAGAGTACAAAATCAAACAAAAATATATAATAAAGATGATGAAGTTGACTAATATCTCACATCTAGATTTTAGAGAAGAATGGTTTATGATGTGATTATAAGCTTTTAAATTTAGAACTCCTAAAGGATCACAACTTAATATTATTCAAACCTAAGAATGCTCAACACCAAATATCCCAAGACCCTTAACTGATTGAAAAAAAGAGGTGCAATTTTATTCATGAGCCTTTTCTTTTTATATTTGAACTTCTAGAAATCATTTTTCAAATCATTCCCTTTACTAACAAACTTTAATATAGAGGATTTGCAATATAAATAATGCATATTTGAGAAGTTAAATATGATAACTTTGGCATAAATTCTAAATTTATATAAGTTAGCAATATTAAAAGAGTTGGAGAGTAATTGGCAAGTTGTCCACTCTTTAGTCCCAACTGTTAATAAGTTATTCCAAGTTTGGTGAAGGTTAAAGGAGATAAATATCAAGATAATGGAAAAAGAAATTAAATATGTTGAAGAGATGGGTGAAGAACTTTTTTCTAGAGCATATTGGTCAAAATATAAAACAATATTGCAACAAATGCAAATTTGAGTTTGGGATTTTATAAATTTAGTTACAGTTTCAACTAGTGTATAGTAAGGTTGAGTTTGAAGAGGATAATGATGAAAACTAAAAAGGATAAGATAAATAATATAATAATATAAAAAGTTGGTCAGCATCTTATATACATATAACATTTTCATCACTTTATACTCTTTAAGTTTTAACTTTCTCTATTTTTTAGATATTTTAAATCTTTGTGGAAGGGGATTCCAACCATTATTGAGCTATGGTTGTCCCTTACCTTGCCTATTTACATGTATGGGGACAAAAAGCTACTTAAACATATCAAAATTATAAACTATAAACAAGAAAATTGTTTTTGATGGTTAAATTTTAGTGTTGCTATATTGTCAAAAGGGGAGCAAAAAATGTGAATCACATATATAAAACTAGTTCAAAGAGAAGCAACTCAAGATTATCAAAGAGGAATTTTTGATAAAATTTAATAATATTGACTAATTTATTAAAGTGAAGACATAGCCAGAAAAGAAGAGAAGAAGTGTGCCATACAAAAAGCACTAAAGGCATTTACTACACTTAGTAAGCTCATAAATTTTTTCTTTTTTTTTGGCTTTTTCTAGTTAATCCTAAAATGGAAGAGGTTTAAATTTTAGAGAAAAAGGAAAAAATACTTCCCACAAGCTTAAATAGCATCTATATACCAATGATTAAGATATTAATAGCACTTAGCCACCTTGGATGGGACTGTGGAAGACTTAATTGAAGTCATTTTTCAAGAAGGTTACAAGATATATAAAAAATATGTCAATAAAGATTTTGATAATGATTTTGAAATTGGTGGAGATCATAAAACTTCAAATATTGAAGCTTTCAATAAATTAATTCTTGAGGAGTTGAAGAAATTTATGTATCACCACTCTCAAAGTCCTAAGATATAAGGAAACAAAATGCCATTTAAAATACAGCTAAAGTCATAGTTTGAATGAATGAAAAATTGAATTATGGACATGTTAACAAGGAAATCATCCACATTCTTGTTGTTGGAGCAAGTGACAACAGCTTGGGGACTTTTGAAGCACTATCCTCTCCAAGCAATTTGCCTCTCTTTTTGCTGAGATCAAGTTCACTTCTCAGATTGCTGGAGCACTTTGGGAGTGGCCACCTTCTGTCTTGGTAAGCTCACACCTCCTTTCTTTTTCTATAAAGCTATTAGAAGAACCTATTTGTATTTGAGTTCATATACTTTTTTTCTTGCAGGTCGGCAAAAAGATGAGACCTCGCTTGCAAAGGCAAAGAGTGGTGCATGGTTCATATGCGAGGTACAAGGAGCACCCCGGTGAGAATGAATGTCCAACTTTTCTAAGAACTGGGTGGAGGATTGTTGGAGAAGATGCTGGAGCTCCAGACACAAGTTGACAACTTCCGCCATGACTCCAGGACTATCCAAGAGCTCGGCATCAGCCAAAGCTGTGGATGCTAGCACCGGTTATCAACACGGACCAGTTTATGTTCCAGCTGACGAGCTTTCTCTCCGAACACCCGATGTGCAGCCTTGACACGAGCTATGGAAGAGATTTGGTCGAAGTTGAGGACGTTCTTCACAAAGATTACAAGGCACTGGCTTGGCTAGCCGGGAGATTGCCAAGGACGACCTCGTCTATCCCCTCAGGGGAGCTCTTCTCAGCATTGCCAATGATGGAACGAAGTTCCCAGCCTTGGATCAGTACTTATGTGTGTCATTCTCCTGCAAAGAATTAAAATTTACAACACGAACCAAGCAAAAGACGCCTCAAACATAGTGACCTTGTCAATATTGCCAACTTCCCAGTCGTTCTCCTCGGTTATTCCTCCACAATCATCGTTTTCTCATGTGACACACATGTTTGGCCGGAGTCTGAGCTTCTATCCACCTCTGACGTGTAGGATTGAGGCCGGCTCCCATAGAAAACATCAAGCTTGGAAGAGAGACAAGGCAAGATGGCACGGTGCGCGGTAGAACTTCTCAAAATAATAAATATTCTTTTATATTAACTTTGGTTTTAATTTGCCAGGATTTTCATTATTGTTTGGATGCGCAAGAGAACGTAGCCATTGTTAAGAACATCCTCCACCAACAAAAATTCCTTGGCTTTTCTAGGTAGCAGTAAAGAATAGAGCTACTGAATAAAAAAACTAAAACATAAGAAACTCTATAAATCACGCTTTAGCTTGTTTAGCAGATGTGAACATCTCCTTAACTTCTGCAGGTGGCTTGGTCTTGATCATGTTGGCAACAGTGTTGCACGTTAAACTCAGCAAACTCTTGACGTTGAGATAGTTTGAGGCCAATACCATTTCAAAGAGCGTGGGAATACCAACATTAACAAAGTCGTCGTCAAAAGCCTTGATCTCCTCGCTGGTCTTCTTACTCCCGTCCTTTTGAGCGTCCATATGAAACTTGATGTATTCAATCACCTTGGCCAGGATAGGGCTGGAAACATTGGGTAAAGATATCGCCGAATCTAACCCAACGTCCTCAATCATGTTTTTCACCATCAGAGATTCCAAAGCTAACTCTTCATCAACCTCAAACACATCGCCCTCTGCACTCTTTAGCGTCACCTTCGCCATCTTTGAAACCTAAACCTAGAAATTTATTCATAAAAGATCTAAAACAGATAATTGCCTAATCAACAAGATAATAATCAATAGTGATGTTTTTCTCGAAGTTGTTTCCCAACCTCTTGTTCTCAAAACGCAACTTCAAATACTCCTCCTGGAGAAAGCTTTTGTACTTTGGCTGATCACTCACAAATTCTGGAAGAGGAGCGATCCTAGTTTTGCCTTCGGCGACATGGTGGTAAACAAACGAGAAACGCTGCTTCTTGTTGGCTACTACGCAATGAACGGCAGCTTTGTAAAGTCCATTTGTCCACACCTTTTTTCGGTTGAAGACAATGAGAGAAAAAGATTTGAACAAATACCACTTACCTGTATGATGTCTCCAAGGTTGATAATTAGTGAATTTTCTACTGGCACTACAAGATGCCAAGTCCCATCTTTGAGAACCTGGTAACCAGGAACACGATTAAGTTGTGACACTATGGTGAAGATGGTACCGTCTTGATGAGGGGCGAGAACTTGGCCCTGGTAGTCAGAGCAACCTGGATAGTGAAGAAAGTTGAAGTAATCTTCATTCTTGTCAAAGCAGTTTCGTCGGGAGCTCCTAGGCTTTGGGACAAAATGACCATCATGTTGTCGCACAGTTTCTGCATTTGTTTTGACACTTCCACAGCATGTGGCCTGTGATTCACGAGTAAGCTATTTAACAATATGTAAGATTTTGTGAAAGTACCTGAAGCTTGGTACTAGATCTGGCCACAAGGTGGACTTATCTTCCGCAGCAAACATGAAATGTTCCTTTCGATCAGGAGGTCCTCCTTTAGCACCACTTCCGTGAACGAAACCCATTCCGTTGTTGGGAGTGCTAAATTTGCACTTGTACTCCAGAGGGAGCTCAAAGAAGCTGTGAGCGTTTTGGAGTACCTTGCTCAAGAGGAGAGAATCCAAACCATGGTTAATCACTTGAAACAGACCGAATTCCCTACACGCTTTGTTGATTGTTGCCAGTGATTCCAGGCGTTTCCTAGCAATATCTGTGCCAGCTTTGTCTTCCACAAATAGTGCAAAATCCACCACTGGAATGGCCGCCATTTTACAACGCTGAGACTTGTGTTGGTGGGGCTTCTTAAGTAGCAAATCTTTGTGCTTTGCTAAAGATTCGTGGCTTGAAACACGACAAGGGACTGTTTACAATGTGCACTATTTATAAGCAGACAGTGATCCAAGCCAACAACAGGTTCTTTATGGACTGTACAATTTCGTTGACCTTTCGTGTTCGGAACTAGGGTTATAATTTGAACACGAAGTCAATGACGGTCGTGGCCGCCAATGCGCCACATCCATCGCAGATCGCGCTGGCGAAAGAAAAAACGCCGAGGAGTTTAGTTCTGCCGCCGAGGAAGTCGCTCTTTCTAGCGTCGAAGTGCTCTGATCGAGCGCTCCTTGTTTGCTATTACGTGATGAACACGGTCCCATGCTTCTTCTCAGTCGGGCATACGTGGACAGTAAACACCTTGTAATCCACACCTGTAAAGAACAAATTAAACCCTCCAGTAATCCTGATATAATGTCTCCAAGGTTAGATGGCACCGCTATTATCATACTTGACACGATTAAGATGGTACCGTCTTGATGAGGGGCGAGAACTTGGCACGGGTAGTCGGAGCAACTGGGATAGTTGAGAAAGTTGTATTGACTTGTTTTGATTTTTAAAATATTGACTCAAAAGCCTGGCGCGGAGGCGGGCATTTGGGCCCTTGCAGCCGCCAAGGATGCTCATCCAACCCAAATCGTGCTCATGGGTACGTTGGTTCGCCTCCATCGCGAGGCAGAAGAAGCGACGCCGGGAAAGGGATCCATTCCGACATCCTCGGAGTGATTGCTGCTGCTCCAGGGTCTGCCAACTCGCTCCCTTGCCCAAGGGGGCAAACGCAGCATATATGCACTTCCTACCTTGCACTGTAACTTGTTTCTTTAACATCGCTGATCAACTTGTATGCCAAATGCGGCAGCTTGGTGGATGCCATGGCGGAATGCTGGAGCGCACCATCGTTTCCTGGAACGCTCTCATGCTGGCATTACTCGCATGAAATGCTAGCGCTCGAGTCCAGCTCAAGGATCCGCCAAGACGGACTGGAACCCAATGCTTGAACTTTCGTCGCTGGATTGAAAGGCCTGTGCTAGCTTGAGCGCGATGGGTTCGAAGAAAGAAAGAGCCGACGAAGAGGAACAAGACGAGGCCCGCCATGGACAAGTTTCTTGAGAAAGGCATAGTTTTTCACTCTCAAGCTCTGGCTGCCGGGTTTCTCTCTGATATCTACGGATTGATTGATATGTAGTTTAAATGTGGAAGCTTGCGGGATGCACAACGACATGGTTTCTTGGACATCTTCGATATGCAGCGACCCACGAGGAAGAATTGGCTTTGGAGTCTTCTTGGCTACGGAGTTGGATGTATGCACTCCCAATGCTCGGACTTACTGCTCGCTCGATCTCCCGCTGATGTTTTCGTGCACCACGTCTAGCACATCCACGTGCTTTCATTCTAAACCCTGCTTGGCCGAGAAAGAGAAGAAAGTCGGTGGAAGAGTTGTGAAGTCTGTCTTGCAATGGGAGATCATGATTCATTCTCAATTTCTGGATGAGCGAGTTGACATGTTCGTTGCGAGCTTGCTGGTGAATTTTTACGTCAAGTTGGCGCAAGAATGCTCCACAAGAATGGCTTTGGCAAGCTAGCACTTGGATTGTTCCAGCAGCAGTGTCAACCAGAAGTTATGTCGCTGGCAGGATAACACAAGGTGGAGAAGCTTGATGGACACCTGGAGAGTATTTGTGTACAATTGGGTCTTTTATCTGAGCTTTGATCCTCGGCTTGACCATGACAATTGAATTAGTTTTTATTGATTTCAATACTAATCAATTTGATAGTGATGCTTTTACTAAAGCTGTTTCCCAGCCTCTTGTTCTCAAATCTCAACTTCAAATAAATCTACTTTGGGTGGAAGAGGAGCGAATTCTAGTTTTGCCTTCGGGGACATAGTTGTAAACAAAGGAGAAACGTTGAGCCTTGTTCGCTACTACACGATGAACAGCACCTTTGTAAAGTCCGTTTGTCCACACCTTTTTGGTTGTAAACCACAAAGAATGAGTTAATCGCGATCACTTACTTGTATAAGGTCTCCAAAGTTGATAATCAGTGAATTTTCTTCTGGCACCACAAGATGCCAAGTTAACCTTAAGCTGGGAGACCATGGTGAAGATGGTAACGTCTTGATGAGGGCGAGAACTTGGCCCTGGTAGTCTGAGAAAGTTGGATAGTGAAGGAAGTTGTAATAATCTCCATTCTTGTCATAGCAATTGCGGCTTTGGGACAAAATTGCCATTACGTCCCAGTTTTTGCATTTGTTGTGACAATTCGACGGCATCTGCAAGCTACTTAAAAACATATAATAATCTACAAACTACCTGAAGTTTGGTGGTAGATCTGGCGACAAAGTGGATTTGTTTTCCGTAGCAATCAGAAAATGCTCCTTCCGATCTTTGAGGTCCTCCTTTAGCACCATTTTGGTGCACGAAACCAACTGAAATTGTTGGCGGTAGTAAATTTGCATTTGTATTCCAGAGGGAGCTTAAAGAAACTGTGAGCATTTTCAAGATGTGTCAAACCATGGTGAACCAATTAAAACAGAAAAAAATGCCTTACACGTTTTGTTGATTGTTTCCAACGATACTAGGCGTTTCCTAACAATTCCTGGGTGAGACTTGTCTCCCATGCCCTCCATTTTATTACAACTGAGGTGATATTAGGGCTTTTGTATGACCAGTCAAACGCCCTATTTTTTGGTTCCAGGATGAGCTCTCGCGGAGGCGGTCATTTGGGCGCTTGTGGCCGCCAAGAATGCGATGCCACATCCATCGCAAATCGCGCTGGCGAGACCTCATGGGTACGTTGGTTCGCCTCTATCGCGAGGAAGAAGAAGAAGCATCTCTGGAGGTTCTAATGGCGGCGATCAAGGCTTGCAGTAGCGGCTCAATCAGAGAGCTCAACGCCGGAAAGAGGATTCATTCCGACGTTCTCGGCGGCAGTGATGGCTGCTGCTCCAGCGTCTTCGTCGCCAACTCGTTGATCAACTTGTATGCCAAATGCGGCGGCCTGGTGGATGCTATGGCAGTGTTTGAGGCAATGCCGGAGCGCACCATCGTCTCCTGGAACGCTCTCGTGCTGGCATTTGCGCTGAACTCGCATGAAACGCTAGCTCTCGAGTCCATCTCAAGGATCCGGCAAGAGGGACTGAAACCCAATGCTCGAACTTTCGTGGCTGGATTGAAGGCCTGTGCCAGCTTGAGCTCGACGGGTTTGAAGAAAGAGAGAGGGGACGAAGAGGAGCAAGAAGAGGCCCGCCATGGACGAAAGGCTGTCATGATCAAGTTTCTCGAGAAAGGCATGGTTTTTCACTCTGAAGCTCTGGCTGCCGGGTTGCTCTTGGATATCTACGTTGGAAATGCATTGATCGATATGTATTCCAAGTGTGGAAGCTTGCGGGATGCTCGCAAGGTGTTCGACACCATGCCTGCTCGAGACGTGGTTTCTTGGACGTCTTTGATATGCGGTTACGCTGAGAACCGCGAGGAAGAACTGGCTTTGGGACTCTTCTCGACTATGGAGTTGGATGCATGCGTTCCGAATGCTCGGACTTACGTTGCTGCTCTCGTGGCCTGCACGAGCTTGGCCGAGAAAGAGAAGAAAGTCGACAGAAGAGTTGCTGTCCTGCAAAGAGGGATGGCGATTCACTCTCGAGCCCTGGACGATGGCTGCGCGTCGGACATGTTCTTGGCGAGCTCGCTAGTGAATTTATACATCAAGTGTGGAGACCTGGCGGAAGCTCGCAAAGTTTTCGATCGAATGCTCCAGAGGGACGTGGTGACTTGGACGTGTTTGATCCTGGGATACGCTGAGAATGGTTTTGGCGAGCTAGCACTTGGATTGTTCCAGCAAATGATGGAGTGTCAGCAGTGTCAACCAAATGCCAGAACTTATGTCGCTGCGCTCGTCGCTTGCTCGAGCTTGGCAGCGAAAGAAATTGGACAGCAAATCGATGGAAAGCTCGTAAAGGTGGAGAGCTTGAGGAAGGGAATGGCTCTTCACTTGGAGATCTTGAAGAGGAGCTACGAGTCGGAGACTTTCGTGGCAAACACACTGGTCGACATGTACTCCAAGTGTGGAAGCTTGATGGACGCCAGGAGAGTCTTTGACAGGATGCTGGATCACGACGCTGTGTCCTGGAGCACTATGATCCTCGGCTATGCCGGCAACGACCAGGACGAGACCGCCATCGAACTCTTCGAGCAAATTCGATGCGAAGGATGCGTTCCCAGTGCTCGGACCTTCAGCTCGGTGCTAGTGGCGGCCTCCAACTTGGCCGCTTCGACGCAAAGCAATGCTACTCGCGCTTGGTGCCTGGAACTCGGGACGAGGATCCACGCTCTGGCAGCTCAAAGCTACTGTGACTCGGACACATTCGTTGCCAACACTTTGATCGATCTCTACGTCAAGTGTGGGAGCCTGGAGAGCGCTCGGGCTGTCTTTGATCGGATGCTGGATGGTCGCGACGCTGTATCGTGGAACACGATAATCCTCGGCTATGCCGATAACGGACAAGACGAGCTCGCTCTCGAGCTCTTCTCGAGCATGATCCAGCGCCAGCACTGCGAGCCGACTGCTCGGACTTTCGTGGCTGCGTTGCAAGCCTGTGCTGGTTTGGCGGTGAGAGAAGAATCACAGCGATCCGGGGATGGATCCCAGCTCGTGAAAGCGCGCTGCTTGGAGAAGGTGATGGAGATCCACGTGCAAGCCCTTGTGTCCGAATCTTGGGATGTTTTCGTGGAGAGTGCCATGATCAACGCTTACGGGAAGTGTGGCAGCGTTTTGGACGCTCGCAAAGTGTTTGATATGATGGAGTTTCACGACGTTGTCTCGTGGACGGCTCTCATCCTCAGCTACGTGGAAAACGGCGAGAGTGTCCTCGGCCTGGAGATCTTCTCTTGGATGAAGCACAACTCCATGGTAGCTCCAAACGCTCGGACTTTCGCGGCGGCGCTCATGGCCGGTGGAAACTTAGCTTGCCTCGAGACTGGCAGGAGCATCCACGCCGAGATTTGCCGCGGGGCGATCGAGACGGACTTGCTGGTGGCGAGCTGCCTGGTGGACCTGTACGGGAAGTGTGGATCCTCCGGAAACGCCGAGCGGGTCTTCGAGTCGATCGAGACGGGGTCGGACCCCGTGATTTGGAGCGCCCTCGTCTCCGTGCACTCGGTCCAAGGCAACACCACTCGGGCTCTTGAGGTTTTCCACGCCATGATACGTGAAGGCGTCCATGCAAACGGCGTCACCTTTCTCTCGCTGCTGGCGGCGTGCAGCCGGGCGGGCATGGTGGACGCCGGGAAGAGATGGTTCCGGGCGATGATCCAAGTGTACGGGGTGGTGCCCGGGATCGAGCACCATCACTGCCTCGTCGACATGCTGGGTCGCGCGAATCGTCTCGAGGAGGCACTCAGGCTTGTGGAGACGATGCCGTACGATCCCAGCGTTGTGACTTGGACGACGTTGCTGGCGGCGTGTGAGAAGTGGAACAATGTGGTGATTGGGAGGATTGCGTATGCTGCGTTGCTCAAGCTGGATGTTACACAAACATCCACTTACTCGCTCATGGCAAAGCTAGAAGCATCAGCCAGCTAATGTTTGATCATTTACCTGGATAATATGTTGCGTTCGAACACATAAAGTTTGTACACTTGTCGTGTTTCATACCACGAATCTTTAGGAAGAAGGATTTATAATATATATACCTTTCTGAAGTCGTCTTCAGCCAGCATGTTTCCCGTCGTGTTTCATGGCAAGAATCTTTAGCCGAGAACAAAGAATTGGTACTTAAGAAGCTCCACCCCAATACATTCTCAGTTGTAATCAAATGGAGGGCATTCCAGTGGTGGACTTTGCATTATTTATGGAAGACCCAGGAGAAGCTAGGAAACGCCTAGAATCGTTGGAAACGATCAGCAATGCGTGTAAGGAATTTGGTCTGTTTCAACTGGTTAACCATGGTTTGGATTCTCACATCTTGAGCAAGGCACTCCAAAATGCTCACAGCTTCTTTGAGCTCCCTCTTGAATACAAATGCAAATTTACTACCGCCGACAATTCAGTTGGTTTCGTGCACCAAAGTGGTGCTAAAGGAGGACCTCTAGATCGAAAGGAGCATTTCATGATTGCTGCAGAAGATAAGTCCACCTTGTGGCCAGATTTAGTACCGAGCTTCAGGTACTTTCACAAAAGTTTAGAGATTCTTAAATAGCTTGCTAGTGAATCACAGGCCAGATGCCGTGGAATTGTCAAAACAAATGCAAAACCTGGGCCACAACTTGATGACCATTTTGTCCCAAAGCTTGGGAGCTCCTGGCGACACTCTCCACAAGTGCTATGACAAGAATGCAGATTACTACAATTTTCTCCACTATCCAGCTTGCTCCGACTATCAGGGCCAAGTTCTCGCCCCTCATCAAGATGGTACCATCTTCACCGTGGTGTCCCAGCTTAATCGTGTTCCTGGTTACCAGGTCCTCAAAGATGGCACTTGGCACCTTGTAGTGCCAGAAGAAAATTCACTGATTATAAACCTTGGAGACATCTTGCAAGTAAGTGATCAGGAGGTATTGGTTTAAATATTTTTCTCACATTGTTTTCAACCCAAAAGGTGTGGACAAACGGACTTTATAAAGCTGCCGTTCATCGTGTAGTAGCGAACAAGGCTCAGCGTTTCTCATTTGTATACAGCTATCTCCCCGAAGGCAAAACTAGAATCGCTCCTATTCCAGAATTTGAGAGTGGTCACCCAAAGTACAAAAGCTTTATGCAGGAAGATTATTTGAAGTTGAGATTTGAGAATAAGAGGCTGGAAAACAACTGTAGTAAAAATATCACCATCGACTACTATGCTATTGATTAGTCCATAAAAGTCAAGGCCTGGGCCAGGAGGTTGGCTGATAATGTACATCAAGTTCCATATCAAAAGGAAGTCTCAATAAATTCTCGTTTACCATTATAATTAGTCAAGATCTTTTGTTGCTTAGCGATGGCTACTAGGTTCTCTGCGCAACCAAAAGAGCAAATCCTGGAAAATCAAAGCAAGGTTAATACAGAAGAAGAAAAAAATGAAACATTTACCAGCACCACCGTGACCATAGTTATGGACTATAGCCGAAGGATTGCCATCTTTCAGCCTTGTCTCTCTTCCAAGCCTGATGTTTTCTATGCGAGCCGGCCTCAGTCCTGAGAGAGTAGTCGGACATGTCGGTGTTCCTCAAAGGTGGATAGAAGCTCAAACTCCGGCCAAACATGTTCTTCACTGGTTCATAATCCTGCAAAGATTTCTAGCTAAAAAACGATCAAGCAAACAAGTACCACTGATACCTTTTCAATGTTATTGACTTCGCTCTCCTCGGCTATTCCTCCCACAACCAGCGTTTTCTCGTTCCTGGGATAAAAACCATGTCTTCAGCGGCCTCTCGCCTAAGCACTGATTCAAAACTGGGAACCTGGTTCCGTCGTTGGCAATGGTAAGAAGATCTCCCCTGAGGGGATACACGAGCTCGTCCTTGGCAAGATCCCCCCTAGCCAAGCCTGTGCAATTCACAATAGCATCGACCTTGTAAGTCTTGCGAAGAGCGTCCTCCACTTCGAGCAAATCCTGGTCAAGACTTCCATAGCTTGTGTCAAGGCTGCACATTGGGTGCTCGGAGAGAAAGCTCGTCAGCTGGAACATAAACTCGTCCGTGTCGATAACTGGCGCTAGGTGCTGGTAAGCGTCCACGACTCCATAGCTTTGTCTGATGCCAAGAGTTTATATAAGAGAAGAGATTTCTTACACTTTCTTGGCATGATATTATAGAATGTCGGCACAAAGATGGGACCTCGCTTGCCTAAAAAAAGTGGTGCATGGTTTCCTATGCGAGGCTCAAGGAGCTCGCCACCCTCGCATTCTCACACCAAAGTTTTGGTCGAATGTCCAACTTCTTTATGAATCGAGTGGAGAACTGAGCTCCAGCTTAAAGTATATGGCTTCCGCCACGACTCCAAGATCATCCAAGAGCATTTAGAAATGTTATAATGGTGTAAGTAATTACAAAAAGAGAGAAAAAGCATCAAAATTATACAGCTCATGAAACTTTTTGTAAGTTTTTTTCCTCATCCTTTTTATACAGAGGCTTTGCTTTGCTTAGACAAATAGTCTAATGGAGCAAGATTTATGCCATCTTTAGTTAGCATGCTACAATGTAATTTCCTAAGCAGTAAATGAAAGTGTTTTACAATTTGTTTGAAAAAGTTATAATTAGGAAATATTAAAAGTGATATTTCAACTTACATGTTTAATTCTTTATTAACAAATTCCATGACTTCATCCACAGTTTTACTTTTTATCCAATCAGTTGCTACAAGAAAAAAAAAAAGGTTAATAGAAACATATAATTGTAAATTTACCATAGGAAAATGATGCAATAGTAGATTTACAACTAAAAATCTTAAAGCATTCCTCATAAATTTAGAGTTTCATAACATCTCCAAAAACAGAAGTTCTAATTAGGGTTAATCCCACATCTATGTGGGGTTATTGCTATAACCTATTGAGTAATATTGAGCTACCTGTAATCTATCAAAAAAGGCTAGGTCAACTCCAAAACCTTTTCAAAAAAGTGTTCTTGTTTAGCGATTCTACAAACTTAAGGATCCCAGGAGCATATGCAATCCAGGAGATAACAACTTTCCAAACGTTTCTCGTTTAGATCTCCATGTCGCTTCTGGTTTTCTGCTTGGACTTGCTCTGATTCTTCTGCTGTTTCTTCTTGAGGGGAGCACTGTCAACGTAGTCCACGTCGAAATCGTAAGTCCCCTCCATCGCCGCAGCCTCTTTCGTCGACTTTTTCCGTCGCCTCTTCTCTGCCTTGGCCAGACGAGGATTGAAAATGCCTTCCTCGTCATACAGCTTCTCAGTCTGCACGCCTTGTTTCTCTTTTCTCGCCGGGAGCTCAGCTGTATCCATCGCTTGGGACTCCGCAACTCCATCACCTTCTTCATTAATCTTCTCATCTTCGTCGTCGGAGTTCTACAAAGAAGGATGTGGCTCAATCCAAAGGAATCCCGAGGAAAAAAATGACTTTCTTACCTCCATCATTGTAACGTCCATAGACATTGGAGCGCCTGCTGGAAGTTCCGTATGATCCGCATCGCTTAAACATGGAAGACCCGCAATGACAGTGGACTGTTCTCTTTTGAAAACCTCGTCCACGTTAAACTCCTTTCCCCAGCTCGTCACGATGGCTGACTCGGAAGGCCCTGCTGGTTCTCTCACGGGAGGCACAGTGTAATGCGAGATTTTCCCTGCAAAGCAAGAACAGGTATTTTCCCCTGTCAGCACTCTTGCGAAAGAAGCCCTTCTCTCTCTCCCTCTCGATCGTTGCTTACCTTCATTCCAGTCGTGAAGAACTATCCGGGCAGCTGTCTCAGTGTCCACAACACCACCCTTCTTAAACTTGCCACGAATCGTGGCCACGAGCTGCAAAAACTCGTCCACCGTGCTGAACGAAGGTATTTTGTAGAAGCTCATCAGTTTCTCATGACCACACTTGCTCACTATCTCCTTTACTGTAGAGGCAAGCGGAAAGAAATAACTCAGGAACATTACAAAAACGCAGTCAAGAACATGACTTACCCGGTGCCACAGGGTCTGCAAGCTTCTCGATTCTCGTACAGTTTCGCAAGTCCATGAGAGGTTTGGAGTCAGTTGCGCTTGCTAAGACAACTCCGGGGCAGTCGAGTAGCTTGACATGCTTGTCTAGCTGCACTTCTTGCATCGTCCTTGTCAATCCAGGCGTTCCTCCGGCACTTACTGCCCGTGATCTCTTTAAGCTGTTGATGAGGCTGCTCTTCCCAACGTTTGGCAAGCCAACGATCCCAACTGTGATGGCTCTTTTTAGCTGGCGTACGAAGAACAAAGGTCAGAAGGAAGAAGAGCCAAATAAATAGCTAACCTCGTCGCTTCTGGAATAGTTTTTCAAGAGTTGTAAGAGCGTATCGGCTCCCAGGCAGTCACTACTTGTCTCCAGAATGACTTTCGACTTCGACTTCTTGCGACTTAGATTGCTTCTTTGCATTTGCGTGTTGCACTTGAAAGCCACCGTCGGCAGCTCTTCTCTCAAGTACTTGAGCCACTTCTCAGCAATCTCTTTTGGAACCAAATCTGCCGGGAAGACAAAAGATCACAAACAGCGATAAACACACTCGTTTTTACGAACCTATCTTGTTGAGCAGGAGAACTAGACGCTTGGATGTTTGCGACTTGAAAACCAGGCGTTCCATGTCAGGGCAACGTGTTCCCAGAGGATCCCGAGCGTCGAGAACCTCGATGATAACATCAGACGCCTCGATCACCTTCAAGAGTTCCTTGTAAAAAGCTCTCTTGGATCCATCTGCGCTCAAAGTTCCTCTTTAAGCCAAGCTAGCTAGCAAGAATCAGCTCCACAAAAAATACCTTGAGAAGAAGAACTAGAAGTTTTATTCCGCGAGGCTCTCTCAAACTGCGCTGTCCTAGTTTCGGTATCGCGTACAAGATCATCGAGCTCATTTTTTTCGGGAACACCACGCTTCCGAAGTTCTGCCTGAAAAAGAAGAAGACATTCACGCACCGAATGAATCCACAGAACGAGAAAAGAAAGAAACTTACTCGCTCTTTGGCACGTAATTTCTTAGCTAGTTTCTTCTCTTCTAGCTCCTTCAGAACTCTGGCACGCCTCTCCTCGAGCGCCTTGAGCTCTTGCTCCTTGAAAGGCCACGCATTTGGAATCCCTGGATCCTTCTCGACCTTGGGCTTCTTCTTCCCGATTTGCTTCTTCGCTTCCTTGGCCTTCTTCTTGTGGTGCTCCTTCACCTTCTTGATAATCTTGTACTTCTTGCGCAATGGGACGCGCTTGCTCTTGCTCTCTGGAGAAAGAAAAAGCGATTAGATCACAGACCTCGGCTCTAGCTACGACACATACTCTTGCTCTTCTTCACCATGGCGACCCGAAAAACCAAAACCCTAGAAAAGCCCTAATTCTCCGCGACGGGTTCGATTCCCAGCACCAACCAACCAAAGAGAGAATATCTGCTGACGCCACCGAGCAAATCAAAGGATTTGACTTGAAACAGAAACAACAGACTGTGGCAAATCGTTGATAGCAATAAAATGGGTGTGAGTTTTTGTCGTCACCAAATCTCCATTACATATCAGTTGATCACTAGGTTTTTGAGTGAAAATAGAAAAAGGTGGCATAGTTTTTTCTTATCCTAATTGTAATGATTGATTGTCTTGGCCCACATTTCACATGCGGGTCCTTCTCAATCAAAGCCCATTTACTTATTAGTAGAGCAATGTTTCGTATAGTTTGGATTTGCATGCTTTTCTGCAGGCCCACAAAGATCAAATGGCTAAAATTCCCCTGCTCATCGCATAGGATAAAAGAACTAATCACTAGAATTCATGTAAGGAATCTCGGCCTCCTCCCAAACAAACAAAAGAGCCTCTCGACATCATGCAAGGAACACATGGCCCATTTTCTTCTGATTTCCTGAAACTGGCGACCAATTAAAAAATTCGGGAGAAAATTAAAAACAGAGAAACACCCACAAATAAAAATAAACGATACAAATAACAGTAATTTAAAAATATTTAAATTATTGCTTACAAAAGGCCTTTTTTCTCTGTGGATGCATTCATGTTGTAAATTGCCACTCGCCACTCACAACGCAACAGCGCGATCCATAGTCAGTTATTTCCTCCAGCTTTTGGAGCTGCCGTACAGCACAGGGTCTCTGTCCGTACTTGTCAGTGAAGCTCAAGAAAGAGATTGTTTTATACAAATCACAAACTACTTCTTCGGTCTCACACGCAAATGGGAGAAGCAGCGATGAAAAGCTTTTCCACAAAGCCATAAAAGTTCTAGCAAGTTACCTCCACATAATATGTACACTTAGAAGAAGACTAGGCCAGGCCAAATCACAGATTCGATCGATCGAAAGGACCCAGAAAGGAAAAAAAACGAAAGACCAAGAGAGGAACTTCCAAGGAACCCACAAACCTTTGACACGCGATGTCTCCAAATCGATCTATCACATGAACCATTGCTATCCTCAGTCAAAAGAGAAATGGACGTGTGTGTGTGTTCTTCACAGGAAGCCCGTTTGCTTGAGAACAGCATTGCGAACTCTGCTCAAATCCCTCCCCTTGAGAGTGTGACCCGCGCCGTCGCAAACCGAGAAGGCCACGCTATGGCTGCGCGCGTAATCCCGCGCCACGACCTCGTGCGGTGGCAGCCGCCGCGGAAGATGATCCTCCCGCGACCACTCGTCCTCCGAGTCGTCGGATCCGTCGTCCTCGCGGAAAACGCTCTGCCGGGCCGCAGATTTGGTGGCGCTGCTTCCCAAGATCTTGGACCAGTCGGGGACGTTCATGGGCGCCGATTGCTGGCGGAGCAGCGACTTCCCGGAGCTCCGCCCGTGGAATTCGGTGGCGGAGACGATGTTCTGCGGGGTGGCTTTGCTGCTCAGCGACGACGCCAATCCATAGCCTCCTCGATGATAGTTCTCCTCCAGATCTTCGCGATGATCCTCCTGGTGGTGGTGGAGATCGAGATCGCTGAGATGGTTCTCCATGGCGGCCCAGATGTCGTGCTCCTCCAGCTCGCTCAAATCCACCTCCGCGCCGGCATTGGCCTCGGCATCGCAGCCCAGGAACATCTTCTCCCGCGAGGACAGCATCTTCTTCTTGTGGTCGCGCAGCATGTAGCTCAGATTCGAGTGCTTGAGCGATGACTCCGTCTTGGCCATGAATCAAACTCCTTCGATCGATTCGCGCGACGATCTAGCTAGTCGTAAGTAGAGTTATCTTCGATCTAGCGCTTCTTCCCCTATCCTATGATGAGACGATGAGCGGCGATTAGACTGGGGAGGGAAATCAGGCACTCCGCGAAGCATCCACAGCTCGAGACCCACAAATTTTCAACGCAGCTGGGCGCGGCCATGGCCAAGAACATGTGAAGCCCCTAAGAATAGCGCCTTATCTAAACTCGCCCAGCTTTTATTTACCCTTATAGTTACCCACAGTGTAGAAAATGCGCTAGCTTGGCGTACGGTAGCACGTGTCAGCACTGCCAGCTCTGCCGCCAGTGTCCACGTCACCAGAGGGGAGATTTACCTTTTTCAGGAATTTTGTTGGCGCGTTAGCTGCCTCACATTGTTCTATTGAAGCAACTTGTAAAACAGGTGTTTTAGGTTAGAGTTAGGGCTAAATATATCGGCAAGGTCTTTTGATTTTTTTACTATTCTAATACATATCCTTTCACGGAATCTTCTAGTTTGTCCGCTTTGTTCTGTCATGTTTGGGCAAAGATGGTAGCGTTGTTCTTCAAGTTATATAGCTTTCACTGTTCCAGCGCAAGACAAGCATCTAGAAATATTGGAGCAAGCGTCGGTGATTGTGAGAAGCAGCCACACGCGATCGGTTGATTCGATCATCCAAGCGTCTAAATGATCTTTGAAATGCTGCAACTTGAACGAAAAGAAGTGAAAAATTTCGTCGTGATTTTATGGTCCTCCGACAATGTGTCCATTAGCTACAAGGTCCTCGTCAGCAAAACAACTTGGGGGCGAGAAAGCTATGAAAAGATTTCAGAAAAGATTTCATGGAGGAACAAGGCTCAAGCAAGTCTCCACTTCCACTGCACCTAAAAAGCTTTACTTTCTTCTTCCCTCTTTTTTTTTTTTTTTTTCGTGCATGATAAGTGGTAGGAGACAAATTCCATTCCCATCACTACTAGGCCCACCGCTGCTCTAGATCAATTCAACCTAGGGATTACTTTTGATCCACAGCGAAATTTGGGCGATCCAAGTTATGAAGAATCTCGCGACTATGATTGCTTTTGGCGTGCTCGAATTTTGGACGTGCTAGACAGCTCTGAAGAAGAATTTTAAATTACCCGCCAGAATTTTAAACAGTAGGATATTCTCCTCTACATCGAATATCCTGATTTCAAGATTAGCGAAGAGCCCTAGCAGAGCCTTTTGCCGCCTAGGGCAAGGGAGCGCCGGGGCTATGGATCTCATGGCAATGCGCGCGGCGCTGCCACAGTCACAGCTCCCCCAGCAGGTAAATCTTTTGCGGCTGTGCTTTTCCTTTTCTTTGCGTCCAAATCCAAATGCTGGAGGAAAGAATTTGAGTGTCGAATCGTCTTTGTGTAGAGGATGTCTGCCTGCTGCTTGAGAAGCCAGGCTTGTTTTCCAAGCAAGTGGAAATCACAAGCGAGGGACAGGGCTTTGCGTGCTACTTCCGTGGCCGGAAAGTCGCCAAGCACTGAACAAATGCTGGTACTCTCTCCTTGCATTGCTTGATGGTGAAAAAAAACTTTTTTCCTTGCTTTCCTTTGATTTTGTGGAATAGTCTTTTAAGGTGGTGTGGATCGCAGATTTATGTTCCCGCTCATCCTCTGGTGAAGCACTGGGTGGCTGTTCTTCGGAACGAATCAACGCCACCCCCAGTTTTCAGTACTCCTTTCTATCTCCATTTTCATTTTCGTTTCTCAAAGTCTTGTTCTCTTCGCAGAGAGCGCGATGGCAGAGCTCGGGAGGATTCTCATATATGAAGCTTCTCGGGACTGGCTGGTGAGTTATTTGCCTTGGATCATTTGTCTGTGATAAAGTTCTAATGCTTGTTAGAAAGGTTACCATGACTGGCCAAGTGCAAACTCCCTGCGGTGTAGCTGATGTCGAATTTGTCGATCCAAGAGAACCTATAAAGGTATGGTAAGTATGAAATTCCCGGATTTGCTTACATGTTTCGTCTAGGTTGTGCCGATTTTGCGAGCAGGACTTGTACTCGTGGAGCACGTAGCTTCGGTACTCCCTGCTACCCAAACTTATCACTTAGGTGAAAGTTTTATCGCTTTTCAGATGAGCCTTTTCTTAATCTTCTGGTGTCAGGATTCGTTAGAGACGAAGAGACGCTACAACCAACGCTGTACTTGAACAAGTAAGCTTAAAATTTTTGGATGCACCGAGCGATCTTTGATAGCATGAAGCAGACTTCCGGAAAAGCTCCCGGAGCATGCTCGCGTTCTTGTGGCAGATCCTATGCTAGCAACAGGTATGGCATGTTCGTGTGAAGAAAATATTCACAGGCTTTCCTTGTAAGGTGGAACGATGATTGCTGCCATCGAGGAGCTCATTAAACGGGGAATCGATCATAGACTTATGCGAGTGGTAAACCTGTTTTTTTTCTTCCTTCGCGCTTTTGTTTCTCACTTCGAACTTAAAAAGGTTGCCGCTGTTGCCGCTCCTCCAGCTTTGAAGAAATTGAGCGAAAAGTTTCCTGGGTAAGCTTCTGTTACTCATTGGAACTCTCATGCCTTCGGGAAATGTAGGCTCAAAGTTTACGCTGGCATTATCGATCCCGAGCTGAATGACAAAGGTTATATAGTTCCTGGTCTGGGTGATGCGGGTGACAGGAGCTTCGCAACGTAGCAGTGCGCTAACGAGATTCTTAACTTTTATTTCATAGAACAATCTCAAAGAATAACATGAGAATATACCAAATGGTTTACTGTAGACTTTGGCAAGACGACGGTGGCCATGGGATGGAGCAGCCAAGTTCCGCTGAAAATCTCCCCAGTCAGCAGCGGATTACCATAGCCATGGTAGCGGCCAGTGACATACGACCACATGAGGCTCCCGGAAGCAACCATTGGGAACTCCCTTGCGAACTTCATCAGCTCCGAGTCGCTATTTTCTTCACTGGAAATCTTCCTCTGCAATGCCAGGATTGAGAGCTCTTCTTCTTGGATCATCTCGCAGAGCTGATCGATGGCACCCTGGAACCTCGTCCCGCTGGGGCTGTGCTGCAGGAGAACTGAGATCCAGTTGTGGTGACCAGCACCTTCATAGAACTCTTTCCTGAAGGACAAGAGATCATTGACAAGAACAACGTGATCAGACACAGAATTGAGGAGCTCTCGAAAGACTGGAGACTGGATTTGACTTTCGTTGAGGCGGATTCCCATACAGAACTCAGTCATGATACCGCCGACAGCTTCCATGAATCCAGTGGCACGGCGGGCAAGCTTGTATTCTTCCACTCCAGGGATACTTTTCTTGGCTCGGTGGTGAACTTGATCCTTCACGGCTTCCAGTGAAGCTCCCAGGCACTCCACGTAACGGTCCAGCAATGGTGGCTCCATACCAGCCCGGATCTCTTCCATAACTTCTCGGTAGAGAACCAACACAGGATTTGTGACATCCTCGTTGGAATTTCCACTGGCAAGGTTGGAGATGGTGGCGTTGAGCTTCGGGATCTCTTGTGTGGCGCTGGATTCCAGCAAATCGTCAAGGAGGAAGACGGCCCAGAGATGTTTCCCGGCCAGCACAATCTTCTCTCTCTCAGCATTGGGATGCATCATACAGGCGTACAAACCGATCCTGGACTCCAGCACCTTCTTCTTGGAAGTCTCGTCGGCGATTCTCATCTTGCCAAGGAACCACTCGTCGATTTGGAGGCTGATTGATTGGAATTCCGGGTGGCAATAAAATGCAATGTTGTTGGGAAGCAATGGGAGCTCGAAATGGGTGACACCCAAAATTCTGGAAACTAGAACATCTTCCATATTTTATTCTTAAAGAAGAGAATGCTCACACAGATGCCTGGGTTTTGAATCCTTGTTTATATACTAGATCTTGTGGCTATGACGTCTTCAAAATTCAAACTTTTAAAAGTCAAACTTTTAAAAGTAGCGTAGTACTAATTCAAGTGGCGTAGTACTAAATGACTGGCACAACTTTTTAAAGGTTGTTATTATTAATTTAGAGAGAGTGCTCCCACGTTTTCCTTTTAAGGATATTAATCTAAGAAAAGGTAAAGATTGAATCCTTCGTCTCTAGACTTTTAATTTATTTCTTTTTGGTGTGGTTAGGATAGTGCATATTGTGAGGAACCCAAAATCTCTACACAAACAACTATAAAAGTATAAATTATGTTTAATTGATTGTGCTATAGAAAAGTCCACACAAACAACTATAAAAGTATAAATTATGCTTAATTGATTGTGCTATGGAAAAGTCTTGGTTGTTGCAAATTTCCACACAAACAACTATAAAAGTATAAATTATACTTAATTGATTGTACTATGGAAAAGTCTTGGTTGTTACATAGGAGGTATAGATTGACAATCAGAAGAGTATTGCTATGCATGAATTTACTCCGCACAAATAAGATAGATTTAACATCACTAGCATATGAACTAAATATCATGTAATATTTTAATATAATGTCAAGAAGTCAGAACCTCGCTTCTTTCTAGATTATTGTTGATAAGATTGATGTTGATCGATCAGTATTTCTTGAGCTTTTTGAGGTTAACAATTTGGAGATATTCATTCTATGTTTAATTTCTACACTATGACAACTCAAGATAAAGAGGATTTAAATTCTCTTTTGCCTCAAAAATGGTTGTCAAACAATGCTGTAAATAATTGCATCAAATTGAACTTATTCAAAACTGTAATAACAAAAACTTTATAAAGGAAGTGCAGAATATGAAAAATACTCATATTATTGGTTTCTAATCTTTAAAAGGTAAAGTTTTTTTCCTTTTTCATTACCTTAATTGGTTTTGCAACAATCATTAATCTGCAATTGTTTATACTTTTTTAAAAGGAAAAGTAGAGGGATTATTCTCCATTTTAATCCTATGATCCTAGTCTATGACCAGCATTTTATTAATAATGGTAAATTATATTAAGTGTAAGTGTAAGATTGTGTGGTGAAAGTATTATAGGACACCACCTATAACTAAGTCCCATTGACCATTGGGGCTTCCTCACCATATTATAACTATATAGTTCTTATACTAGTGACAAGATATATAAATAAATCTATAAATATATGTATATATATATATATATATATATATATATATATATATATATATATATATATATATGTATGTATGTATACATATGATATATATATACATACATGTGTATATGCATATACATATATATACATACATCTATACATATCTATATACATATATATACATATATCTAAATATCATACCAGGTGTGTGTGTGTGTGTGAGGTCCAAGTGTACGGTTATGATACCATATACTAATATTAACATAGTTAGATTTTGGTAGCCATCTGAGTGATTTCAATTTGGACCACTCATTTTTGCATATAAATTAGGATTTTTGGGCTAATTGATATGCATATCCCTTTCTATATTCTATGCCCTCAATTGGTGGAGATGAGGGGCACTTTTGATTGTCCTTGAGAAGTGTTTGGATTTGGGATTTTGGTTTAAATCTAGCTTTTGGGTTGTCTAGATTTAACTTTTTCCATTTTCTTCTTTTTATTCTTTTATTTCAAGATTTTAGTTTCGATTTAGCTTTTGCATCATTTAAATCTCTCTTTCCTTCTAGTATTTTTTTTCATTTATCTTCTTTTGCTCTTTCTTTTTCATTTATCTTTATGGCAGAGCAGTAGTCTCCTCCTCTTTTGACCCTAGAGCAACAGTTGGTGCAATTGCTTAATGCTATGTGATTGCAATTGAACAACCAAACTTAGTTGATGGCAGCATTCATGGCACATGGTACAGCTCCTCTTGCTCTTGGTGCCAATCCTTGCATTTGGCCCGAGTTCTTTCGTGGGAATCCTAGAGATAATGTGTACCATTAGTTCGATCACTTCACAGTGATTGCCATATATCATTCTTGGGATGATGTTTAATGTTTGCGTGAGTTTCCCACGTGTCTCCAAGGGACAGCACTGCAGTGGTACAATGGTTTGAGTGTGTAGCACATGTGGTTTTTACCCTTTATTCTATAGTGATTTACCATAGGACATAGCTTCAAAACATGAACATGAACACGAACACGGCATTCAATTTTTTGAACACAAACACGGAATACGGAAATGAACACGGATAAACACGGGTGAAAACACGAATATTCTCTAGAATATTCTACTTATCACTCCATCTCATCTAGAAGCTCCTCATTAGCAGGATCATCATCTTCGTCTTCATCCTCTTCTTCCATAGCTTCAATATCAGCATCAGTAATTTGAGGAATACTTCCTGTCTGGCTCAATCCCACAAACTTGTCATAGGAAGTGTGGCTCCCTATCAACTTGGTATTACTGGCCACAAATACGAAGTCTGCAATCCGGCTCACTGCTAAGCAATTCCTCTTCTTTGAAGTGATGTGCCCAAAAATGCTGAACAATCACTCCATAGATGAGGAAGACTTGCCTGACTAAGCACTTGAATTGCCAACCTCTGCAAATCTGGACCTGAGTAGCCATTGTCCTCCCACCACTGCACAGAACCCTTTGTTGTACGATCCGTCTGAGAGTCCCTGATGCCAAAACTACCCTCCAAGTTCCTATATTGGCAAAGCTGATTTTTTATAGTTGACCTTTGCTGATAGTTAGGGAACTGGTACATGTTCCAATCTTTGGAAACTTCCTTGGATTTTTCCTGTCCTCGCCCCTGAAACTCTGGATCAAGCATGTATGCCACGGAGTGAAAGGTGCTATGATAAGCCCACCACCTGTTTGAAATCAGTTGGTTTAGCTCCTCATACCTAAGATTGTTCTCCTCTTGTTGACAGATGTTCTCACTCATCTGATCCATCCCCTCGTAGACCTTCCCAATCACAGGCACGTCTCCGTCAACCATCTGTAGCAAATACATCACCCTCCTTGAAACACCCAGCATGTGGTTAACCTCATTCTAGTATGTATCGTTGAACACAATTCCTCGGCATGCTATCCCAGAATCTATCCTTGACTCTAGCCTTGCATTGTAAGCGTTGCTCACAAACATTTGTTGTAGCTTTGGCCTCAGCTCCACCAATCTCTCCATCATAAGAAAGTTGAAGGCGAATCGTGTTTCAGTGAACTTCAACACTCGTCGTGAAGAGAAGGATGCCAAAATTGCTACTAGATGCGAATGGTTCTGGAGGAAGCCAACCAAAGTCTTTCCCTTGTCTAGCAGCCCAACCATCCATGGTAGTTTTGAGAAATCCTTGAGAATGTTGTTCAAACAATGAGCTAAGCACAAAGCCCACATAATCCTTGGCTTCCTCACCTCTAGAAGCCTAGCAGCAGCCTTGTTTGAAGCCTCACCATCTGTGACAATAAGAACAACATTCTCCTCTCCAACAATCTCGATACCTCGCTCCCATGTCACAAAAACGTTATCAGCCGTCTTCCCACTAGAGGATATATCAATAGCCTCGAGAAAAGTCGACTGTCCTCTGCTGTATGCAACAAGCCCCATGATATGTCAATTTCTTGTGTCATTCCATGCATCAGCAACAAGAGTAACCCCACAATTCTTCCAATGTGCCTTCACCTTGGCAAGTTGAACTTCAAGATTGGCTTTCTCCACTTGCAACAATTGCTCTTGCAATGCTGTCTCTGTTGGAAGATTGTAGGGAATTCCATGCCTTGCAATCTGCTGCACCATCTCCTTGAAATGGTGAGAACGAGCTTTCACAAATGGTATGTGCTCGTTCCAGAAAAATCATCCTATAGCCATATCCACTGCTTCCTTCCTTTTTGGATCAAAAGAATCCCGGATTCCCTGCTGTCATTGCGAAAAAAACTTGGAAATTCCTTCTACAGAATTGCCACCTAGTGTAGAACTCTGGGAAGCAACAAAACTCTCTCCTCCAATGCTTTGGATGCCTTCAACACGTGTAGAAACTGCTCGTTTCTTGCTTTGGTGTTTTCCAGCCAAAACCTGGTCATCGATGGTTTTAGCCATCTCCCTAAGTTGTTGTCTCTTCTCTACTGAGATGACATCACAACTTAAGATTTCATGACCAGCTTCCCCTGTGAGATGTCCCCTCACACGATCCACACCTGAAACTTTGTCTCTCAACGAACACCACTTGCAAGACCAGCATCGATGCCCACTACGGCAGTTTGTTTGATCACCAAGGATCACTTCTTCCCACCAAACGGATGATGGATGTCGCCCTGTTGAAGTCCTCCTGCTCTTGCTCCCAAATGCCATCACTCAGCTCAACCTCTAAAATCCTGCACCTGCTTCTACTCCAATCCACAATCACTCAGTCCAACCTCTAAAATCCCACACCCTGCTGCTGCTCCAATCCACAATTGCTCAGCCTCTAAAATCCCACACCCTACTCCTGTTCCAATCCACAATCGGTCACGCCCTGCGCCTAAATTTTTTTTGAAAAACTCAAAATTTTAGAATCATGCCGTCAATAACACAATCGCAACGCCAAGCAACTAAGAATCACAGCAATCTACAAAGATGTAGTGCCAAGCAGCTAAGAATTATGGAAGAAGCAATCCAAGGAGAAAATTTGGGAGAGAAAATCTACAAACCTGGAGACAATGATCAAGAATTTTTTGCAGCGAAATCAGATGTGGTTGAGCACCATTCCTCCCACTCCAGCGCTAGAATCCTAGAGAGGGCATTCCCAGCCCAAGAAAATCGCCATAGATCGCTGGAAAAACCTTTTGATTGATCGCAGGAATTTTTGATTGATCGCAAGACAAGAAAACATCAAAGCGCAAAACACTCACGTGAACCACGTGAGCTATTGTTTTAGAACATAGCGTGGTCACATGGTATTTGACCG